GTGGGTGGGCTGGGGGGGGGGTCTCAGGTTGCCTGGTGGGCTGTGTGGAGTCTCCTGTGGGCTGGGGGAGTCTCCGGTAGCCTGTGGGGCTCTCAGGTGGGCTGTGTGAGGTCTCAGGTGGGATGGTAGGGTTTCAAGTTGGGCTCTGCGGGTTATTATTAATAATGTTTTCCTTTTTTTTTTACATTATTTTGATCAGTTTTTCACTTTAATTTCTTCTATTTTTTTCACTTAACTCTATTGCTATCACACAGGGGTTAACAAGTTCCTGTGTGATAGCATTCGGAGGTGACAGGTTCTCTTTATAAGCCTGCCATCCAGTACAGACTGTGGACTCTGGACTAAGAACGCACTAGACTCACACCCGGTGCAGAATAACACGATCCGGGAACGCGAGTCCCGGGATTGCACGGTCCTGCACAATGCAGTCCGCGATTGCTGTGCGGTCCCATTGATTTCAATGGGGTGACATCCGCACGGCAAATCGCAGAAAAATGTAAACGCGTGGCTGTTTTAGCGTGGAAGTTTGGAAGCACGGGCAGAATCGCGGCGGAAAACCACGCAATCTGCCCGGAGCGACTGGGGTGCCATTACAAAATAATGGATGGCACCCACAGCGCAATCGGTGCACACCTAGGCGACTCCTGACCGCGTGAAATCGTGCACGATTGACGTGCGGTGATGTGTCGTCCAGGTGTCCACAGACCCTTAGGAACGCACTAGGCTTAGGATATAGGACATTTGTCTGGAGATAGGAAAGCACTAGTCTCTGGACTTTGCAACATAGTGGACTTAAGACTAAAAACAGAAGTATACTCACTACTCACAGATAATACAAAGCCCCCCTCCCCAACCCCTGCTACCTGATTGCCTGCTCTGTCTCTATCCATCCTTCTGATCCTGGTAAGACACCCTGCCCGCACTGAGGCATGCACAAATCATCCAGGGGCAGGCAGGCAGGCATATACACGTCTGAAGGGATGCCGGGGATGTCCTGTTTGATAAAATATCGGCGTCAGTGAACAGCTCTCCTCCAGCCGTCACCGATGTTTTATCAAACAGGACATCCCTGACATCCCCGGCATCCCTTTGGACAGCTATGCCTGTCTGTTGATGTTCTTCAGGCGGGCGCTCGGGAAGACATTACCCCCTCTGCCCCCTTTCACAACCCCACTACCAGGACCTTCTGGGGGGTTTGAACCCCCCTATCTCCCCCTTATCTACGCCCCTGGCCCCGCTTCCCGATTGATCAGGAAGCCAGACTCCCTAGCAAGTAGTAAAGAGTAAAGAGGTGAGTCATGACATGCTGCCTGGCTTCCTGATTGGCAGGGAAGCCTGCTGCATGCTACCTCGCAGCACTGCCGGTCAAATGGAATCTCCCTCTGACCGGAAGTTTCGTTATCGGGGTAAGTATCAGAGCATTATGGGTAGTCACCCAAATACTCTGTATTGGCACCAGTACCAATAGTATCGGTATTGGTTCATCGCTATTATTCTCCATAGTTATTTTAGTTACTTAATCACGTGCCTTTTTAAATAATTCTGCTACCAGTGGAATAATATGACATACCTCATCCTTGGATCAAAATATTAGTCAACATTTCTATGTTTTAATGCCATACTATTTAGCAACACACTTGTGATATAGAAGTTTACCTTTGAGCTTCTTAGAAGCAGCTGCCACCTCTGATACATTTCCTGTGCCTCTGTCTACCAGTGATAGAAATGCTAACCCAATCAGCATTGAAATACACACCTGAAGCTGCCACTTGTGCTATTGGTCTTTTTGTCACATGTGCCATGAATCCGACAATGGAAAAGATGACGAAACCAGCGAACATACTTGTACAAGAATTAATGCAGCAGACAATGATTGAGTCTCTAAAAAAGATTGTAATGTTTTGTTAGTGGCAATATTATTGAGCAAAAATCAATATTTTATTTCTAAGGATGAACAAAAGCCAATATACCTATACCTATAAAGTAATAAAAGCAAGGGACTACAGACTTTAAAGTGTAACAACAGAGACTACACCATGGAATATGGTTTCTATATTTGGTTATTTGTGCCACATTTTATACAGGTTGGAGTGCATGTTTATGTTTTGTTTATCGGTCTCTTGAAAATGTAACGTATTGCTTAGATGCAGCAGCAAAACTTAAAACTCACAAAATGTTAACTTTACACATTCTGCCATTTGCTTTTTGTCTGCAGCACGTAACTCACCAAAGTACAGCCTGTAAACTTTACCACTGAATTCAATAAGAAAGCTCTCACTATGGAGTTGTGGGGGGAAGTAGGGAAAAAGAACCAGCTGTGAAAATAGGCCCTTTCTATAGGACTTGTTATTTCCTGATGTCATAGAAAACAAATTAAGTAGATTAAAGTGTAATGGGCAAATCTGATTCCTTTCAAGCAAATCCTGAACGGTAGTTCAAAATCTTGCAATCTGTGGCTGTGATCATGTGACTTAGTTGGTATAGACAATGAAGATGGCAAATAGTAATTTTCCTGAAGTATATCAGATTCCCCCTATACTTACCCTCCCAAGAAATGTACACATATTATTACATATAAGTTTTCTTTAGTTATAAACTGAAAGACTGTACATCGCCTGGCATATGAAACTTCTTGCCTAACGTTTGGGTGATACTAAAGTTATATGATATGCTATGCCCAAATCTTGCCCCTAAACAATGCACTAGTATGTCCTTATCTTGAATATGCAGTTCCATTTTGGGTACCATTTCACAAAAAAAGGATATTGTGGAACTGGAGAGAGTGCAGTAAAGGGCAACTCAATTAACAGAAAGCATGGAGGAAAGATAAACTAAATTCAATGTATTAATGTTCTTTGAATTGGGTATTTAAACCTCTTGTAAACATGTACAAAAGGTTCATACAGAATATTCCATGGATAACTGTTCTCTTTTAGGCCATCATACAAGAAACAATTTTTTTTTTAAATTATAGAACATACTGTATGTCTTTGTTAAAAATATAACTTTGTCTGTTGAAGGCTTGTAAACCTTAATTACAATTTGATTTATATACAAGAACAATTTACTATGATTTATATTATGTAACATTTACATATTTTGCTTTGAATGGTTCAATTACTTTTTAGAACTAAGATCTATTAAGATAGACACATTGTTGTAGAAAAGCTTTACAAACATTTTCTGTGTACTGGTTACTTGCTTCTATAGGAATCCGGTAGGAGCTTTGTGGAGATTTATGGTATAAATAGATAACTATATAGAACAGGGGTCCATAAACGTTTTACAAAGGCCAGTTTACTGTCCATCATACTGTGGGGAGGCTCAACTTTGACCAAAAGAAGTTAAAAAAAATGCTCCAGGACTGTAAATCACCAGGAGTAAAAAACATGTTCCTGCTTTGTTGGACACTGGGAGTAAAAAATGCCTCAGTATTGTTGATCAGTGGGAGCAAAAAAATGCCCCTGCACTGTTGGTCACTGGAAGTGAAAAATGGCCCCATGTCATTGATCAGTAAAAGTAAAAAATGTTCCTGGTATGTTGGCCGGTGGGAGCAAAAAAGGCCCCTGAACTGTTGGTCAACAAAAAATGCCCTAGCTTCAATGGAAGTAACAAATGCCTTGCATCAGTGGTCACAAATTGCCTTGAAATGAGTACATTAAATTTCCCGGAATCAGTGGTCAGTAGTAGTAGAAAATGTTCGGTTCCTGTTATTAGTGGGAGTAAAAAACAGCCCCAGCAGTCATCAAGAAGAATTGTGCACCATTATTAGTTTTAATGGGAGGAATGGTGCCCTATCATTGGTGTCAGTGGGAGGACTAGTGCTTCAATGTGGGTGTCAGTGGGGCAAAATCCCCAGTGGCTGGTGTCAGTGGGAGGAATAGTGCCCTAGGGTTGGTGTCAGTAAGAGAAATAATGCACACTGGTTGGTGCCATTGGAAAGAAAAGTGCCCCATTATTGGTGTTAGTGGGAGGAATAAATTCCCGTTGTTGTTGTCAGTGAAATCTGGAAAGCCTCCCCCCCAGCCCTGGTGTTCAGGGTTACTTACCTTTGAATACACTCGATGCACTGCTCATCTCTTGGATGTCATGGCCGGAACTATACAGGCACCATTGGGAAGGATAACACATCACTCAACAGTGCCCAAGATACATTGCCGGGTGCTGAAACCCCTGCAGCATTCAATGAAAGGACCTGCATGTGGGCCATAGTTTGCAGACCACTTATATAGAATGTTGGACCACAATAAAACCTTAAGAATGATTTTAAACATCATAGTTAATTAAGGTGTCCAGATTAAAGTTTCCAACACTTGGACTACTGCTGCATAAAGACATTTTCTATTTTCGTAGAGTGATTATAAGAATATAGCTATCCACTTGCCTGTAAACATTATTGTTAAAGGAGTTGTAACTTCCCAGGGCAATTAATGATCCAAGTCCCAGTCCATATGAGAAGAAGATTTGGGTAGCAGCATCCAGCCACACCTGCAACCATGACAATAACAGAAAACTGTTGTAATCTCACACAATTAAAATTCAGTAAGAATGTGTAACTAAAAGATGTGTGTTACCTCAGAATCAGACAACTTGCTGAAATCTGGAGTGATATAAAATAAGATTCCATCCTTGGCCCCAGGTAAAGTCACTCCTCGGAAAAACAAAATGACCAGCATGATGTATGGGTATGTGGCAGAGAAGTAGACCACCTAAGGAAAGAGAGATTTATTTATTGCATAGGAATATTCTTTTTTTCAGCATAAAAAATCTCAAATCAAATAGCGTTGAGCTCTTCAAATATGCTTAGTGCTTTCAGGACTCCTAATAATATGAATGTGTTGAAAAAAAGGCAGGAGGAGATTTGAGTCATGAACCCTATCAAAGCAATGTGACCAGCCTCTTTTTCAATCATGAAATATCTCTGCTATGTTAAACAGAGAGAACTATTTGACATAATACAGTCTCCACACCATGACCTGCATTTTAGGAATGGGCTGCATAACCCAGGCAGGAGAGTGGAGTATTACTACGGTGTATGTCGGAGATTAGTTTGCAAAATCTGCTTTCTGTGAAAAATCCCCCCATGCTCTGCTTAAGGGATCTGTTATTTGTCTTTCAAAATCCCCAAATGTGACATTTTGATTTTAGCAGAAAATAAATAACTGGTTTAATCATTTAGATTTCTTAAAACTGCTAGCAGACAGGTAAAGGAGCTTTTTGGCAGAAGAAAAATACAAAGGCTGGAGGGGAACTTCAATTCTGGTCTTCCTGCAGCTGCTGCCATTTGTATTGGAACTTACATATGGCTTCTACACTCCACTGTCTGATGTCACACCCTACTTCATTCACATGTTCAGTCACAGTGTTGTTGCTTGAAACACCAGTGAGCCAATCACGAAATTACATTAAAGGGGAATTCTGTACAACAACAAATTGCCAAATATTTCAAATTAATTACTTAATTAGTAATTTTTATTAACACTGGATCACTCAAATATTTGAGTAGCAACTATGTACTGTATGGTTAATCAATAAAGTAAAGGTAAATGATATGGCTAAATGTATGTACCATTAATGCTACAGTATGAAAAGACATTTTAGACAATTGTGTACTTCCGAACTTGAGGCAACAGATTTCTGTTCTGATGTGACTGTGCCCCAGTACACACAGCCAGCTACATAAAGACATAGTTTGACAAAGTTTTGTGTAGAGGAACTCTAGTGGCCGGCACAGAGCCCTGACTTTAACCTTACTGAACACGTTGTTGGCCATCAGACTGAGACATCTGGTGTAAGAAAAAAAACAGTGGGGGGAAATCTTTGGATAGAAGATGAATATTGCAGCCAAAGCTTGTGTTCTTATTTTATCTTTAATGTTTTTTTCATTTTTAGCTTGTTAATCCTGGCTGAAGTTTTGACTTAATTAGTTCCTAAAAATGTACCTGTCCAGGGAAGCTAAACACATTCTTCGTCCTTTTCCTGCTCTCTTAAAAATCTCTTCTCCAGCTCACAGAATTATTAAGAGTTACTTGCACTTGCTCTGCCATAGCATTTACAATTTCTGTCCTTTCATAGATTGTAAGCTTTCTTAAAGTGGAAGTTAAGTAAAACAAATGTAAAACATGCTAGGAGGTAGGGATTTTTCCCAAAAGAGACATGCAAAGTCTCTTCTGCCAAAAAGCATCTCCTTCTTTTTCCTAGCCATGTTCCATTTTCAATGTACATTGTATGGTCCATGCTCCATGCAGTGTGCACTCTCATCTCATTTAAGGCATCTCTAACATGGTATTAATGATCCTGATACCAGGGAGGATGTAACTCCTGTGTGCATACACATGAGCCTCTATATATATATATTTTTTTAGTGACCCTTGTTATTCCTCTTGCTATCCCAATCTAACCATTCCTATGCATACAGACTGCTGTACGCTCTTTATTGTTCCCTTTCCCAAAATATAATGGCCGCATCCCGTCTTTCAAGATTGGCCAGAATGATTTTTTTTTTCTTGACTGCAAACCCAAAGTGCTATGCTATATCAGTAAAAATTCAGCCAATAAAAAAAATTAAAAGGTAAAGGAGGGATGATGTCATTGTATCCAGGCAGACTTACTATACAGGTACACTTTGCAATCCTATTATTATTGCTATTTAAAGTAAAGTCAGTTTTTACACAGAGTTTTCTCAGCTGCTATCTAGTGATTGCTAGAGAACTGTGATATGAGAAAGGGAGCAATAAAGAGCTTACAACAGTGTCTATACATAGGTATAAGAAAACACAAATACAAGAAAAGCATGCCAACAAAGTGTGAATCATCTACTTTTTAAAATAAAAACTGTGAAAAAATATTGTGAACTGGAAAGTGACAACTGTTCTAAATAAAAAAAATCATATACAGATCTTTAATAAAGAGAGTTTGGCTCTCCTGTTTATCATAGATCCAACTAAAACTGTTTTTATCAATCTTCTGGCAATTATTGTTTTCATTTTCTTGGAACAAGCAGCTCTGTTTGGTAGAGTTTAGACATGTGCACCAGCAGCAAAAAATTTGTTTAGTTTCGTTTCGTTTTGAAACAAAAAAAAATGTGTTTAGTTTAGTTTCGTTTTTCGGGTCCGAAATTAAATTAGTTGCGGACGAAATTAGTTAGCGGTAGTCCTGCCGAAATTCGTTTATGAAAAAAACCCAAAAACTTTACTCTCCCATGCCTGGATTTGAACCAGCGACATTCACAATGGCAATCCTGTGCTATAACCACTACACTATAGTATCTATACTTTTACCATAGAAGCATTTGATATATATGAATGCAATATGTAGCATTTGACAGCTGAGAATGTCAAATGGGCGGAGCGAGCCGTGACGTCATGGCTCGCTCCGCCCATCTGTTGACTTTCAAACTGAATGTCATTTTTTTGCGGCTAGTTTTCGGTGAGTTCAGCCAAGGCACTGGATTGAGCCTCCTAGCACAGGACATACAATATCACTTGAGTTCTGCTGATATTTATCCAAATGATTTTATGTAATAAAGATGCTGGCTCAATACATTTTTTGAGACATCTCAAAAGCTGCAAAAAAAATAATTCTGGTAATTGACTTCCTTGGCTATGATTTATTGGCTCCACTAAACTTAGCAATACATTTGGGTAGTAATTGCCTTACCTTTCCTGTCCAGCCAACTCCTTTCCAGATGCAAAAATAGACCAGCACCCATGCAATAGCCAAGGTAATAGCTAGTGGCCATCTAATTTGGCCTGGTTTCTCCAAGCCATCTGTCATCTGGTGCATGTTACGTCTGAAAAATAGCAACAATGATAAATATTAAAATATATTATAATAATTATAGTAATAATAATCATAATAACATAATAATAGTAATATATGCATTATCACAAATCATTAGTTTTGCCAGGAGAGTTTAATTATTGTGAATCAGTTAGTCAGGGAACACTTGAAGTTATCATAGTTACATAGTAACAAAGTAGGTGAGGTTGAATAAAGACCAAGGTAATTCCACATTTTTACTAGGCACACAATAATAAAAAAAAAACCCTTGCACAGTCTAAGATTGAACCCCCTTTCTTCTAACCTCTTGTTGTGTCCTCGGGTCCTCCATATAGTCCTCAGTGTAAACAACTTGTTCCGAATATTGTGGTCCCCATTGATGGTTTTAAAGACTGCAATAAGGTCCCCTCTTAAGCGCCTCTTTTCTAAGGTGAATAAGCTTAATTGCTAGAGGTGGTCTCCATAACTCTGGCCTTCTATCCCTTTAATTAACTTTGTAGCCCTTCTTTGGACTCTCTCAAGATTGAGGACATTTTTCTTGAGAGTTGCCGACCAAAACTGCACCGCATTCTCTAAATGAGGCCAAACCAGTGATTTGTAAAGTGGAAGTAACACTTTTTTATCTTTTGCTACAATTCCTCTTTTGATGCACGCCAGTATCCTGTTTGTTTTGCTGGCCGCTGCTTGGCATTGCATACTATTGCCAAATCTGTGATCTATGAGCATCCCGGGGTCTTTCTCCATGTTCAACATTGCGCCTCTTTTCTAAGGTGAATAAGCTTAATTGCTAGAGGTGGTCTCCATAACTCTGGCCTTCTATCCCTTTAATTAACTTTGTAGCCCTTCTTTGGACTCTCTCAAGATTGAGGACATTTTTCTTGAGAGTTGCCGACCAAAACTGCACCGCATTCTCTAAATGAGGCCAAACCAGTGATTTGTAAAGTGGAAGTAACACTTTTTTATCTTTTGCTACAATTCCTCTTTTGATGCACGCCAGTATCCTGTTTGTTTTGCTGGCCGCTGCTTGGCATTGCATACTATTGCCAAATCTGTGATCTATGAGCATCCCGGGGTCTTTCTCCATGTTCAACATTGCTAATGTTGCACCCCCCAAGTAGTAATTTGCACACACATTCTTAGTTACCATGTGCGTAACCTTGTATTTTTCAATATTAAATCGCATTTGAGATATTGTAGCGCATGCCTTGATTTTATCTAGGTTGTATTGAAGTGCAAATATCTCCTGTTCATAATTTACTACCCTACCCATTTTGGTATCGTCCACAAAACCGATATTGAACTATTTATTCCTATCTCTATGTCGTTAATGAAAAAGATAAACAGGATCGGTCCCAGGATCGAACCCTGAGGCACCCCACTGCACACTTTTGCCCAATTTGAAAATTACGCATTTATTACTACCAGCTGGGTCTGTTCTTGCAGCCAGTTTTCCACCCATGTACATACGCTTTCATCCAAACCTATAGACCTCAGTTTGTGTATTAGGCGTTTGTGGGGTACTGTATCAAATGCTTTAGCAAAGTCCAGATACACCACATCTACTGGTATTCCTCTGTCTAAATTAATACTGACCTCCTCATAAAATGTTAATAGATTGGTCTGGCATGAACGGTTCTTCATGCAGCCATGTTGGTTACTACTTATGATACCAGTTTTATTTGCAAACTCCTGCATGTAGTCCCTTATCATGCCTTCGAATAATTTGCACACTATTAACATTAAGCTGACTATCCTATAGTTACCTGCTGTACTTCGAATTCCCTTTTTGAGTATTGTTATCATATTTGCTCTCTGCCAATCAGCCGGTACCATACCAGTCTTTAGAGTGTCCATAAAAGTTATGTACAGTGGTCTTGCTAACCTGGCTAAGTTCCTTGAGTACCCTCGGATGTAACCTATTCGGCCCTGGGGATTTGTTTGCATGTAATATTTCTATCCTCTGTACTACTCTGCTCTTCAACAGCCACTGTGATGCATTAAAACTGTTGTCATTGTTCGTACAGCTGATGCCCTGATCGTTACCCATGTCCATCTCAGCTGACAGAAGAAAATAATTTGTTAAACGCGTTTGCGTTCTCCCTGTTACTGGTAGCTAACCTCCCCTGGGCATCCATTATGGGGCCTACATGTTCTTTCCTTATTCTTTTACTGTTTATATATTTAAATCATTTCTTGGGGTTCTGTTTGCTTTCTGCTGCTATCTGTTCCTCGTATTCTATTTGCTGATTGCTCTTTTCAGAAGATTTTTGGCAGCATCAAAAGATATTTTTTTACATTAAAGGAACAGAAATAACAGAAATAATTCATGGTTAGGTTTTACAAACACTTTAAATGCCAGGCAGGTGATGTCAGTCACTTAGAGCTTATCAGCAGAGCCCTTTATAAAATCGTTTAGATAAGTGGACAGACTACTTCGGTAAAGCAGCTAGCAGACAACAAAGAGACAATAAATGACCCACATACAGAGAGCCAGGCATTCAAAAATGCCTTTTATAAAGACACAAGCAATGTAGATAGAGGAGACTGGCACAGCTGTGAAACTAAAAGATCTTTCTTCGCAGTTCACACTTTGAAGGTACTCATTCTGTTAGATTAATGGGCAAGTCCTATGACTACAGGAGAGAGAAAAGCCTACTGAAACCTTTGTTTAGTGCACATAATGGTGCAATATAGTTAGAGATACACTCCAGTCAAACATTAATATTTGCATTTAAATAGAATATGGAAACACTGCATATTTATATGTTATCACCACTCTCCCTAGATAATGGCTTTCCTTGCAGTTGTCTAGGGTTACAAGCTTCCTGACATTTTGCTACTAACATTTTTAAAACTGACTTTGCCACTAACACTAATATGAATGACTTCATTGCTGACCTCTAGCTGAAAGTGCTGGGTGTCTGGTGGTCTCTGGTTTCAATACATTGTATGCAACTGACTCGGAAGAATTATGCAATTGAAAAAAAATCTAAAGTGATTTGTATATTTTGTTTGTGATCAACTGCTCAGGTAATAGTAAGCCACAACTGGCATTTCCATTCGGGAGCCATCAGCAAATACATATACATATGTCTTTGCAACATACGTGTCACATTTACATATTTTGAACAAGCAGTAACACTCTTTAAAACAAGCCCTCATTCACCTCTGTAGCTACGGACCCTGTATGGAAATGCATCTTCAAATTCACAACAGAGGCACTAAAACCTTAGCTCTTTCTGTATTACTTTCTATTGCACTTTCGTGGCAGCCTGCTAGCCTTTTAATGTAAATGCACAACATGTGTTTCTAAACTGTTAAACACGATTGAAACCTAGTTTTAGAGTACGTGTTGTTGTCTTTGAGAATCAATTACTTCACAGTATTAGCAGCTAGAGAGGTCAGGGATGGTTTTCTTTTAAAGCTCTTTTGCTGCTTGTTAGAATATTTGAATGCTTTAATGTTCATAGTCTCGGCACAGGTGCCCATTAGGTGCAAGTTGGTCTTGTGTTGACTCTCTGACAACTTGAAAGCTTCTATCACTCCTTCTTCTGCGTTGGGTTGTGCACCTGTTCTAGTGCTGAGACCCTGCCAACATCTGCAATTTCCAGTCACCTAGAGCACTGGGTAACATAGATTTCAACTTGACAATCAATGTGCCATACCTTTGCCTACCCACCTAGCAATCTGCTTCTCTTCTGATAATAATGCGTAGGTCATGCTTAGGTGGATAGGTTCCAATTGTTACAAGCTATATAGCAGTAAAAATCTACTTTTTTTAAATTTATATACTGCCACAAATTATAAACAATATAGAAACATAACAATGCAGAACATAAACAGGACAAAGGCATAAGGACCCTGCTTGTTGGATATTACAATCTAATAATCAGCAAACAAAACATAAAAAATGAAAAATTAAATCTACAGAGGGAAGGATGATTATTATGGGAGTATGTCAAATGAACGCTGATACAATTTTGCCATGAGTTACAGCACATTATGGTTTGTGTACAATGTAATTAATCAACAACCTTAGACATTAATGGAATGCAATACAGAAAACACTGCAGTTCTAATAAAGCCACTAATATTAATTGACTTTTATTAAAATCTGTTATATCCACCTTGACGTTCGCGGCATTCAGAAAATAAATATACCATTATATTAGGGCAATTTAGCTGGGGTAGGAGTTAGCTGCACACAAATCCATTTAGTAGGTAGGGTGTCTCACCTGAGTCACTTTAGGTGTACAAGCTTCATGTTTGACTGGAAAGTATTTCTAAAAGAATGCTTAAGGAGACCCGAATATTTTTATTGCAAGTATAAATATACAGTCCTAAAACTTATGCAAAATAATGTTTCCTAATTTATATGATGATCAATTCAGTCTCTCACCAAAACCATAAAAATGACCTTGAACTGAGAAGCTCAGAGGAGAACATGATTAAAAAGGAGAAATTACAATATTTGCTGCCTTTAAAAGAGCAATCAGGATGTAATTATTGCACTGCTAGTCATATTTATGGAAATCTTTGTGCAGGCAATAGCAAGCATATATCTGATAGAACTGCAAGGTAACTAAAAGAAGTGCTTATTATTTTGGTATTTAAGCATATAGATTTTTTATTTTCCATGGAGTGTTTTCCATGGAGTAATGGTTTGAATGAAGTGCTATTTAAAGCAGATCTTCCATGAAAATGGAAAGTTTGCTTTACTCACAGGTCACTGTGCCCAAATATAAATGGTTTTATATAGCATATGAAAATTCACGCTGATAACCAAAAAAATACGTCCCTTAGCACCATCTTTCCAGAGGCATAGGTGACATCATTGTGCCTCATTGCCGTTTTTTGCGCAATTATGGACACTTGCAATCCTGCAAAAATGTGCCCCAGCCCATTACCACTGAGACTTGAGTTTTCCCAAAATGAAGGCAACATTAAGGTGTTTTCGATAGTTTAGGGTGCAATGTGCTTTCATTGGCTCCTGGGGGTTGCAGCTATCCT